GTTTCATTTACAGTACTCCCTAGGTTCTAAATTCCAGGTGTCCCTACCCCCCGACCATCTGTCCAATCTGGGAGCTCTATATATTGTTAAAAAGCTTGGAATCTGAGGAATCCAATGATCTCCACCATTTTGAGGCTGACATGATCCCCGACGAATCACAGGACGCAGAGTGTGGAGAGACCAGCTCTTACGCACGGGGAGTGTTTCCATATTTGGTGATGTTACGCGAGCACAGAGCTACAGAAAAGAGCCAAAATTGAGTTTCCACGAAGCTATCGACCAGACATAACAACAAACGGACTTTTATCGTTATGGAAATAACTTTTTGTTGAAAAAAACGGCAAGACAAGATTTACATGCTTGCTTTGTTTTTGCTAGCGTTTTTTCGGGGAACTTTCGCTCCCTGCTCTGAAATACTTTGCGCCATGTAAATGAGTTGCATATTGCTGGATTCTGCTGGTTGTTAGCTTTCATTTGATGCCATGGTTTTGGTGTTTCCGTTTATATTGTGGATACATATCGCACAGAAACAAAAACGTGGTCATGAATTATACTCCGGATATGTTGTTGTTTATTTGCATGGTGTTAGAGCTGTGATTAACGGATATGAAATTGAATTAGATACGTTTTTAGAGGAGTTTCCGCTGAGCACAACAGTATTTAAAATGTGTGGGTTATTCTCAGGGTTAGTGAGCTATGAGCGAAAATGTAACGCACAAGGGGGACTCTCGGGCTTAAGAGGTTAATACAACTTTTTAGTTGGGGTGCCCAAACATTCAATCCCCACTGTAAATATAAGCTCGGTTACATCTGTCAAAATACTTTATAATATTACAGAATTAATATGATTGACTTCCAAGAATTGATTACATGCAGCCTACTTAATAATTTATTTCAGTAAATAGTTAGATCTTATCTTCTTGACCTTTATATGAATACTTCTGACGTAGGTGCTGTTTTTATGCTAGAAGCAGTTGGAAAAATTCAGACGTTTAAACTGTCGTGATTAGCATTGAATTAGCATCAACACATCAGAACTGCAGCTATTTTACTGTACCTTCAAAATAAGGCGCGGAAGGGTCTGCTGGAGAACTCGGAGGAAGTCCAGCTCGCTCAGGGCTGGCCTATGAAATGGGCACAAACCGATCAGAAATACTCGAGTCCACATGTGTGGCATCTGAACGGCATTGAGTACCTGCTGCGAGATGCTGGACACACTACTGGTTTTGCGGCGTAACGTATCGCTCTGGCAGACGGTGAGAAGTGAGCTTGGAAGGATAGAGCGGAAGTCGTTGAAGGATCTCCGGCGGCTCACCTCCGCACTCTCCGTTTGCCCCGGTGGCTGAGGGACGACTCGAGGGAAGAGTTTGGAGAGCAGCGGCTCCTCTGTGTTGCTGTAGCGGCCGAACGCTCGTACCACACCCAGCAGACACGGCACGGAATACTTACACAGCATCTCTGAACAGGGGGAGTGAAAATCAAGGTAGGGTTTTACGAGAAAAAAAGCATTTCCTGCAGGATTTCTTGATTAGCGCACACCCCTCATGCTTTTCAGAACAAATTGATTTCTTTTTTATAGTTTAGAAAACAATCAAATGAGAATGTGCAGCAGTAAACCCCAACCTTTCTCTTGTCCCTCAATGTTCTGACATGTTTCCTGAAGCTGCTGCATAAGGTTCATCACAGCCTCCAATATCTGAAAGACATTTCACACAACATTACGATGCCATAGTACCAGGAAAACAAGGAGCAAGTGGCAAAAAGCTAATTCATGACAGTTCAATCTTACGAAGAAATAAGTGGAATACAGGAGCTGAAACTTGGATTTGTGGCAGTATCTGGCAATTTGACTAAATCTCCATATTTGCTTATCATATATTAAATGTTTAGAAACGGTCTGTTATGTGCAACTAACACTACCGTTACTTACAAAACTCACACTTTTATTTACCACGTGAGTTGTAAAATTAATAGAAAATATAGTCAAGGCCTTGACGAGGTTAGAAATAATATTTATTTGAAAAAAAAAAAAAACTTTTTTCTTCAAACTTTGCTTTTATCAAAGAATACTCGATTTGCAGCATTGCAGACTTTTGGCATTCTAGCTGTTTATTTTTTACATATTATATATATACATTACATATACATTTAATGAAAAAACATATATATACACACACACATATACATATATATAAACCCATTTGGTATTATATAAATTATTTTTAATATGTAGTTATAATCATTTCATTAGGAGAACAAAATGTTTAAAACCAAATGCGTTACCTTAGGCTGCTGGTTTGAAATAT